GCTCCACTACCCTCAGAGGTTGAAAGACCAGACAGAGACATTTCCATTTACTGAAACTCTACAATATTGATAAAGTGAGAAATTTTTTTAAAAGTCACAAGATGTGTGGCATATTTTAAATGTTCAACATTTTTAAATGAACACTCTTAACACAAACATATGATTGCAGGTATAATTTCATTTTGTATATATCAAGAAAAGTTTAAGGAACGCTACCCATAGGCCTTACTCCTACCTCCAGCTTTCCCCTTAATTATAAAAACACACCCTTCTTAGTCCGTTCTTAGCGTAAAACAAAGACTGGGGGAACCTCAGAGAGTTCCACAAGTTGGAACACGAGTGGGGAGGGAGACCACGCTGCGTCTGTGACCACTGAGGAAACAGGCCGCCTTTCAGCCTGCGGCCCCCCTTTGACACCTGGGCTTCCCAGGTCGTGGCCGAGAAGCCGCGAGCCGCCTCCCCTGGGAGCGCCCGCCCTCCTCTCCCACCTTCCTTCCCTGAACCCCTCGAGTCGTCGAGTTGCCCACCGCCCAGCCCTCGGGGAGGACGCCCGGCTCCCCACGCTCCCAGGGCTCTCCCGGGCTCGGTCTCCACACGCGGCGCACTGGGGAACGAACCGAACCCGCCACACTGAGCGCTCGCTGAAACAAGCGGGTCCCAACACGCTTGAGCCTAGAGTCAGGGACACGCGCCTGCCCGCCCCTTGGGGCGCCCAGCGTGGGAAAAGGCGGCCGGGAAAGCGGGCCTGCAGGCGCCCGGGACCCAGGCTTCCACTCACTCGGTCAGCGCCGCCCATCCCTTCGCCGAGGGCCTCCGCCCTCCCTCTCGCAGCCGGAGCCGGAACCGGAGCCGGAGGCGGGGCCGCACGGAGCCGCGCCGGCCGCCCCCAGACGTGCGGGCCGCGCCGGGACGTGCGGGCCGAGAGCGCGGGAAATGCGGCGGCGCGCGAGGGCCGGCGGGCAGGCCGGGATGCCGCGGCTCCAGGGCTGGGGAACCGCAGCCAGGCCGGCCGAGCCTCCGCTTTCCCACGCGAGCGCAGTCGGGTCAGGCGGACCGGTTCCGCAGGGCCCCGCCAGCCTAGAAGGCCGGCCCGACCCAACGAGACTTGTTCACCCTCGGCCCCAGCTGCCCTCGGGTTTCCGCTGACCGAGGAAAGGCTGCGGGAGGCGAGAGGGCCGAGCCTCAGCGAGAAGTTTATTCTAGTGGCTCTGATAACTGAGGTTTTCTCTTCACACACTCGCGCGCGCTCCCCGGTTAGGTTTTAGAATCTAAAGACCTTGCATTTAAACCACGTCCCTCCCCGGGTTGTGTCCGGCGGAGGGTCGCCCTGGCCGCGCTCCCCTGCCTGTCATTTTAAGAGCTCATCAAGTGGCGGGCTTGTGTGGTGTTGGTTTTGTCTAAGTGAATAATTGAATCGTGTTATGCGAGTTGACGGGATCAACACGTTCAGAGTCCCGTGGTGTATTTGGAGGCATTCGCGGCCGGTACCCTCCGCAGGCTGGGGAAGCAGTCGCCCTCCGACCTGGCGCGGGCGGCTCCTATCCGAGCCCCGCTGGCCGGCACTCGGCCGCCCGCCCACGAGCCCTTGTTCCCAGAGGGTCCCCGGGGCCCAGCCCGCGCCGAGGCCGTCCGAGTCCTACTTTTTTCCGTGTGGAGAGGTAGAGCGGCCAGTAGTGAATGACGGATTGCCTGCGAGAGGGAAGCTACAGTTTTCACTGTAGCTGATGGCTAAAGCATGGCACTGTGCCATCTCTGTGAAACTCATGATTTGTACGGTCACTGGTTCCCTGGAACATCCAGACCCTGATCGTGCGTACAGTGTTTCCTTATAAGCAGCACTCGCCAATTTAAAACCAGGTCCCGGGTGCCCCTCTTGCTAATCCCCTCTGCCATTAAATCCTCTTCTTTTATCCCCTCTCTACTTTCCTTTCCCTTCCCTTCCCTTCCCTTCCCTTCCCTTCCCTTCCCTTCCCTTCCCCTCTCCTCCCTTCCCCTCCCTTCCCCTCCTTTCTTTTCCTTTCCTTTCCTCCCTTCTTCCCTCCCTTCCTCCCTTTCTGCCTTCCTTCCTTCCTTTTCTTCTTTCCTTCCTTCTCTCCCTTCCTCAATCCGAGTTGTTCTTGCTGAATGCATCCCAGTAGGGGGAGCGGGGGGGTGAGTATCCCCTCCCCACCCCATCTCCCCAGTAGGCTTGTTGCTTGTAGAACTGGAGAGCTCAACTCTGCCCCCAAAGCCCTTTTGAATAGTGAAGTTTCCAGTTCAGAGCCACCTATAAACGCCCATAAATCAGTGCACATGGATTCCCCAACCCCATCAGAAAGCCGTTTCTATAACTTAGAATTGTTTTGGTGGTGTGTGTTTGCTCTGAGAGAGGAGCTGACCAGTTAGATTAGTTTTTGGATACAGAAAGGTTGCTGTTGTTGTTGTTGTTTTAAGCAATTTTCCAGTTGCAGACAACTGGTTCTTGATTATTCCCTCACCTACCAAGGCAGTTTGTCACTTTTGCCCTTCACCGTGACACATTCCACATTTTTTAGTTATAGGCTGACGTTTTCCCCCATGTCAGATAGAATGTCACTGCATTATAGCTTTTGAGACAGCTTTTGGAGGCTTACCTACAAAACTGTCTTCCTATCCTTAACCAGAGTGTGAGGCCACCTGAGAGATTTTAAACTTCCTTGTGACTGGGATTGAATAGATTCAATTGATAAGATGTGTAAGGTTTACTCACTTTTAGACACCTTAGGGTACTCACTGATGCCTTCCTATCTTACAGACTTAGATTCAGCCCCAAGCCCCTCCCTTGCTGGAAAGAGGACAAGCAGTTCAGATTCTTCTTTCAGTTATATGAAAAGGAAAATAGCTTTCATCAGGTTGGGGCATCCTTTATAAGTTTTCATATTCAGAAAAAAACGTATGACGAGGGAAGCAGGAAGAGATTATTCCGTTATTTCAGTGGATTACTTTTGTAGTGCAAAGTTATGAAACACTGTATTAAACATTTTACATGTACTGTCTCCCACTCCACCTTTAGTTGGAGTAGGTATTTCTACTTTTGACTTTGCATTTTGCATAATGCATCCCCTCCCACCTTTCCAACAATGAGGAAAGCAACACACTCCTCAGCCTATTCTATTAAAGTTTGCTCTTGATTTACACTCTCCACTCCCTCCCTCCACCAACACACACTTATATAGGCACAGTTTTCTTGATCCAGAGAGTGTTGGGATGTGTATAACTTTTTAATATCGTCCTGACTTTCATTCCTTTTGAACTAATATTAAGGTGTTCACCCTGAGATATAAAATGAATTATTGAGAAACAACCATGTGAAATATTGTTTAATTTTCTGTTTTATTGTTTGTGTTTGTTTTTCAAGTTTTGTAGGAAAGGCTTTAATTGGTGTCTAAGTAATAGTCCTCAAGAATTCCTTATTAGATTACTTCAGACCAGTTGTAAACCAATAATATTATTGTTTCTGAAAGGGAAGGTAGAAGCTAAGATCGGTTCTGTCAAGAGATTCATTTGAGGGTTTATCTTTTATTTTGAATGGTTTGTGGGAAGAAAGGGAAGACTAAATGGGGCAGGGGGCAGAGATAGAGAACCCAACAAAAACTTGTTTTTAAGATTAAAGCCATTTCCCCAGACTACTGTCTTGCCACAAGTGACGATACACAGAGCAGAAGTCATGAAAGTGGATTACAGTCACTCTGGGCTATTGGAGGCCCAGAGAGTCCTGGCATTAATTCCTATAGAAAGGTAGAGAAACCTAGCCATCTTCCCCTGCACTTCCCCTGCAGCACCCTCATTGCCTAAGTGTTCAGGGCTCCAAGCTGATACAGACCTCAGCTGGGTCTAGGTGGCAGGGCTTCCCCTGTGTGGGGAAGCAGATGTTCTCTGTGGAGCTGAGGGGGAAACAGGGTGGCTATAAGAAGCCTGAGGGGATGGGACACTGTAGCAGGAGGGCTGTGGCCACCAGTCCCCTGGCAGGATAGCAATCAATGAGTCAAAGCTAACTAACAGTGAATGAAAGAGAGCCAAGAGTAGGACCCTTTGGGTGCTAAAGTCTAACCTTTAGCTTGTTCCACTCCTCCCCATGGCATCCCACCCTAGGTTTTCTGGGATTGGAGACCTAACTAGAGGAGAAGGGGAGCGTGGTAAGAAAACATGCCTAACCCCTGTCCAACATGCATGCACGGGTGGAGCTTGCAGAGATCAGGAGACACATCTCAAGTCCTCAGTGATCTGTGTGTCTGGCTTGTGCAGTTATGCATGGCCAACAGAGAGTGGGGAGCGGTGGGGAGGAAACCTGGTTTTCTCCCGTCACTCTATCTGGGGCTGGTGTGTTTTCTCTCCCCCCAGCCCTCCACCTCACCCCATCAGGACCAAACAGAATTGAAACTCCATTGCCTTTGCCTGCACTGAGCCTAAAAACTCAGTATTTGATAAGGTTCCTGCACCATTGATACAATTGCAGACTTTTTAAAGCCTCCTCAAAGAGACAGATGTTTGGGCTGATTAAGAATCGAGGAGGAAACCTGCAGCTGCACCAAGGAATAATCTATTGGACAAATATTTTAATAAAAAAATATGAAGAGATCAGCCTGACCTTGCAAGGTCTTCTGCTTTAAAAAAATCTTTATCAAACCCCTATTCTATGGCTTCAATAAACAGAACCCATTACCTCACGGCATCTTTTGTTGGCCCCATACAAGAGAGAACAAAATGGTTATTCAGGGGAACGCTTTCGATTTTTATTGTGGGTAGCCTGCACAAAGAGCCGTGTTATTGTATTTAAAAGAACCATCTGTAGCAGAAACAATGGCATCAAATTATCTTTGAATACCCACTGAAAAAACATAAAGCTTTTTTTTTTATTCTTCTTCTGTACGGTGGGGGGATAGAGCAGTGTTAGGATAACTGACTTTTTTGTTGTTCTCTGGGTGCATTCTTCTCGCTCCCCCTCTCTCTCCCCCTCACCCTCTCTCTCCTCTCTCTCTCCCTCTCCCTCTCTCTCTCTTTTAAAAAATCAGCCATTTGGGGTTTTAAGCCATAAACGATTTTTCTTGTTGCAGGGGATTGCAGTGGCAAAGCTAGGCTAGGTCTTGGAGGCTGGTGTAAGGCGAAGCGGTTGAAGGCAGGAGGCTGATGGAGAGACTGGGGGGAAGAAAAGCCGAAATGGATTCACGGTGCTTTGGATGGAGGATGAGAGGGGAATTGCAAGCTCCTTCAACTCGTTCTGTCCGGTGAGAAGTGATCAAGCTTGGGCTGACAAGAGGCTCAGGGAGCCCTCACGTTCTTTCGCTTTTTTACCTGCCAATCAAACTGCTACAAGACAACACCCTGATCTGACATGGACATGTAAGTAGCTTGCAACCCAACTTTGACATTCACTGCTAGCTCACTCCTCTCCGCCCACCCCCCCAACTCACTTTCTTCTCCTCTCATTCTATTTTTTTTTCTTTTGACCTTTAAGAGATGTGGAAATACACCCTGTGTGGCAGTCATTTAACACAGACAGATTTAAGTCTGAAAGCGTTAACTTTTGGGATTAAATACTAAGTTTGATTTCTTTGACAAATGCAGAAATGAAATGACATTATTTTATTCTCTTCTGAGCAGCTTTAGCACTGAGCGTAATAGCTGCCACGCAATAGTGTGTGTGTTTCCTTTTCTATGAAAATAAAGAAATCCGTGAGCCTCCAGAGAGAAACGCAGAAATGAAATTTTCAGGCTTCCATTTAAAAAACATTAAAATCCAACATTTCATCCCTACAAAGAACCTTCTCCATACCAAGATTACATAGATTGGAGAGAGTGATTTGAGTCAAAAGGTATATATCATTAAGGGGTTGCTACCGTTTCATCTGGCATCTTACTATTTTGGTGGTGGCTGGGGGGAAGGATGAGAAAAGAAAAGGAAAGGGACATGGCGACACCTTGTTCTTTATGAGAGATTGACACTGAGGGGGCTAGAGAAGCAAGAGGGCAGGATAAGCAAGAAATATTACCTGAGAGAAGGAATTACAGAGCATGGCGAAGCTGGAAGCTAGGAGGGCTTCTGTGGGAAGTTGTGCGAGGGAGCGGGGCTTGCTCTCTGGCGCCCTCTAATGGCAACTAGAACCAATGTTTTACTTTCTCAATTCAGTACTGGGAAAAGCAGCTGGGTTTTTGTTGCTGCTGTTGGTGGTTTTCTCCGCAGACTTAGAAACTAGAGACTATTAGTGGAGTAAATTGATTGTTTTCATCCCGGAAACTTATGTACATGCCTTAAAATTATCAATATCTTCTCCTCAAACATTCCTCCTCTCCCGAAATTTTGTTAGAGTAATAGGAGAGGCTAATGGCAAATTGACTTACGGAGGGTGGCCCATGCCCAACTAGTAATTCGGGGAAAGGGATTCCTTTCCTACCTGCACAGCATTCTGACTCTTCTAATATACTCGAGAGCTGTAGCGGGGTGGGGTGGGGAGGGATGATTTGGAAATTGCAGATTCTGACACGGGCTCATTATAATACAATTTAAAGGGGGCTCTTAGGAACCTCTGTTATTTCGACATGTGGTGGTAAGGGGGCTTTCCTTCCCGCCTCCTTTTTCTTTTTCTTCTTTCTTTCGTTCCTTTTTTTTTAAAATTTGGTAGATAAAGGTTAATCTTGGGCTGAATGATAGAGCTATGATTGACAAGAGAAAAGGTGTTGAGGGCAGGTCGCGCTGTCTTATTTACAGCCCACTGCTTGCTGTAGAGTCTTTGTTAGGACTGGAAAGCTAATTTAGTGCTGATCAAAAGCACCACAGAGTTAAAGGACTGGTAATGACTGCTAATTTCATTTCAGCCTCATGCATCCCCAACTGCTGTAATTAAAGACACGCTATTTAAATACAGGTGAAGGTTTTTTTTCTTCTTCTTTTTTTTTAAGTTAGCGTGGGGGTGGGTGGATTACAATTTTATTTAGATTTCATCTTATACTTGGGCGTTATGTAGTCCAACATCAAAAACAATTTTTTAGAGTCGCTTCTTGCCATTTATACCTGGCTTTGCAGAATAGGCAATGTGAAATGTGTCAATCACATAAAAGTCCCTATTTAAAGAAAGAAAGAAAGAAAGAAAAAAAAAGGATGCAGAGGAGTAACTGTTTGGGGGCATTTAAATATTTAGGTCTCTTTTTTCCCCCTTCAAATTAATAGAAGGGCCTTCGAAATAGCTAAAGTATTTGAAACTTGGGGCAGGGTGAACAGGCCAAAGGGATCAGTGTCAGCTTTTTAAGTACTTCTAAAAAGATCATGTGAACAGATGGAAAAATATATTTTTAATTAAATAATTTCCCCCACACTGTAGCTGCAGTGTTGGCTCAGAAACCGTGTAATTCCCCCACCGATAGGAGTTTCTTTATGAGAACATCAAAGGATAAAAAGCTCTACATTTTCGTAGTTGGTTAAAATTGATAACCACCGCCCCCCGTACACACACACACATACCCATGCACGCACACACACCCAAAAAAAGAATTTAGCCTTTAATCTCTTTTTATCCACGAAGACTAAAGCTCTGTACTCGACCCCGCGAGCGGCTCTCGCCTTCAGGGGCTAGAACCCGGCTCAGATGTGAAGCGTGGCTGAGCCGCTGCGCAGGTTCGTGGCCAGCGCCCCCTGTTGGACACAGTAGGAGCTGCGCGGCGCCAGTCCTAGAAATCACTAGAACCTTGCTCTGGGGTTAGAGAAAACTTTTTATTACCCTCCGAAAAGCAGATGGGAAGGGGAAACAAGTTCTTATATCCTTGAAAGATAATATAAGTTTAATTCAATAAAAGTTTAAAAGGAGATAACGCAATTTTAATTTAATATAAAATAAAGACGAATCTCTTCACCCTCCTCACATCCTGGCAGCCACTTCCTACCCCCGTTTGGATTTGGGACTCTTTTTAAAGATTTAGCGGGGCTAAAACAGGTACAGAAGCATGATTTTAAAAGAGAGAGAGAAAGTGAGAATTTTCCTCTGTAGCAGTGGAGAACCAAGCAAAAGTTACTTCTCCCGTTTTGTCCACATTTCAGAAAATAAAACGAAAGATGCTGCTGCGTGCTGTTTTGACATTGTCAGCAGCATCTTGAATGCCCTCAGAGGCCCTTTCAAGTATAGTAACAGTAACGGAGTCTCTGAGTAAACGAAATAACTTGCTCCTTTAAATTTTTATTTTCAGAGTATAATTAAAAGGTCAGTCTCTTCTTTGAATGTTTCATTTCCCCAAAATCAGTCTTGATCAAACTTTTCCTTTCCCACCTAGCAGTTAAATTCTAGATGTTCTTTAAGAAACATGTGCCTGACACCTCTCTCTCTCTCTCTCTCTCTCTCTCTCTCTATTTTCCTAAACTGTAGGATTCCAGGAAAGGTGTGCCAATGATAAAGAGTATTTTCTTTTTAAATTCAGTATTTTCATTGACCAGGAATTCAAATTATCCTAGGAGAAGAGGAGTATTTTTTACACTTTCAAAAACTACCTGTCTACATGAGAAAGAGCTTTGACTTTTTCTTTGGTCTGAGAGTGAGGGCAAAAGTACACTTTGAATTCTTTCAGAAAGATAAAATGACACATCCTCTGAACTTAAAACAGTGAGAAAATATGAGTTTGTTTAGGTGTTTAAGATCAAACTGAAACAATGTGTGTGCTAAAAAATGAACACAAGTGGTCTCAACAAGGTGTTTGATGATTTGGACCTTGAGGATTGTACGTACAATTTTAACTTTTAGATAAAAACCTCAAGAAGTTTACGGCTTGTTTGTTTGCTTTTTTTTTTTTTAAGTTTGCCTATTGAAGGAAACTAGCCTAATTTTCATGACAGAATTACTTCTTAAAATATTTAATACTGTGGCTACTCAAGTTGTTTTTAACGTTGGTCTTAACGTTCATTCTTCCCATCTCCCACAGTCAGCAGATCTGAGATTGTGTTTTCAGGGAAATTGCTGCTCGGTGAGATGAGAGACGCTTTCTCCCTCTGATGCCAGAATCGAATCTCAGCTTATGTTTCTCAATAATGAGTTCGGATACAGTGGCAGGGAGAGAATCGAGGCTTTAAATCAATTTTTACCCGGAATTCTATGGAAGTGACGGGCAAGCAGGATTCCCTGCTAGAGAGGCCCCCTCACCCTTTGCTTCACCAAAAGACTAGTCCCCAGTACAGAAACATTAAGTTCGGGCCAACTTTGGTGCCAACCCCGTTAAGGTGACAAACAGTGCTCTGACAGCGGAGGCCCCAGGCTGCCTGTGGCGTGGGGAGGCCAAAGCCAGCAGAATCTTGGAGGTGCCCAGCTAAAGAGGGTATATGCTTGCTGTTCGGAAGTGATGTAGAATTTGCAAAAGCAGGGGCTGAGATTTCACACACGCCCCTTCTGCCCCGCGGGGGTCCCAACCTATAGGGAGAAGTCTAGGGGAGGAACCGCACCTGGCTGAGGGAGGGCAGGCAGTGCTCCCCCAAATTCCCAGGACCCAGGGAGAAAGCGCAACCCCTAGTTTAGGAAAAAGAACTAAACAAGTGGGTGGCCTAGGCCTGGGAATACCACCCACCTCTCCCAGCACAGTGTCATTTCTGTGGTTTCACGCGGCCTCAGCCCCTGCTGGAATCTCACGCCCCACGGCGGCAAGCAGGAAAGCAGCCCTTCCATCTTTGGGGCCTGGGGAGGGGGCAGCGAGTGACTGACTCCTTAGCAGCAGGCAGAGCCGCAACGCTGGCAACCCGCTGCGTTTTCTCCGCAGCAGCAAAGCGCCCTTTAGGGGCGGGGCGGGCATTTTTGGTCTCTTGTCCCAGTGTCCAGGCCAGAGCCCGAGGCTGCTGGCTGGGCGCCCTGCTTTGTAAGTGGTCAATCTTGCCCTATTTTGAGGGCGATCTGGGAGGATGGGCCAGCCTAGCTTTGGGCCCACTGAGTGCTAAGTCCTCAGCTCCCTCTCCCCTCCATCCCTCACACCTTTCCTGGTGAACCCGAACCTCATTCTGAAAGCAAGTATATGGGTCTTGGAGTTTGGTAGCTATTTGGGGATGGAGAAAATGATTGGTTATTAAAACCAAGATTATAAGGATGAACCCTCATTTATCATTGTTTGCTCTTTTACTTTGTCTTTAAACTTTGAAGATCCTTTAGTTCACTTGATCTGACCCTGAGACAGACAAGGCGCCAGGGAGAAAGCACAGCCCGGCTTGGGAAGGAGCTGGGGTATAGACAGATACTCATCTCTCCAGCACTCAGCAGGCAGATAAGCACTGCCAGACTGTGGGTCCTAATCCAGGGCCCAGCTGCTATGTGGGTTGCTGAAGGGTGTTGAAACAAGTACAACTTGACACCATTGAGCCCACAGTGCTTGTCAATAATCTG